AAGGTTATTTTATTTATATCTGTAAGCAACGATAAACCATTACTTGACGAAAGACGATTCCGAGAACAGTTCGGTTATAAATAATTTTTGCGATTTTCGTTTAAATTTGATTTTAAATCGCTTATTATAAAAAAAAGACCCCCGCTGATTTTGAAAATTTGACGACGTTTCAAAAATCGAAAACCTCTCTAAAGTAGCATCTAGACAACTTGAGATTTCAGAAAAGTTGCTACACGTAAAAATCGGAGCAAGTTTGCTAAGAAAAAACTTGTCCACAAACTAGAACACAGGAAAAAAAAAATAATATAAACATCTTAGTAAAACCAATAACTCCCCTCGCTATGCTCAGAATCTAAAAAACAGAACAATTTAAATGTGTTATATGCCCGTTTAAAATATTATGACCAGCCACCTATTCGGGGCTTGAAAGTGATGAGTAAATTAGGAAATGTAGACCACTGAGTCGGTAATTTAACGATAATTTAGTTTTAAAATTTGCGAAATGATGATATTTCTTAGATTGTTTTATTTTTTTTTTTTTTTTGTATTTTATTAGGCACGTGTAATAACATTATATTATTATTTATTATTGTCGTGACAAATTTACGACTCTGTCTTGATATTATAGCAAATGCCTACACTTCTATAGAGATCTATAGGGCTTTCTGGTGGAAAACCATTTATTTATTTATCTAAACAATACTTAATAGTTTACTAAATAGTATCGTTTCGTTTATTGATATTGGTACAATGCAAATTACCTAATACCTATTGTCGACGTTCTTCTTATCGACCTACAACCATCCACCCGATTTCAATCATAACGCCCAGGCCTACTGAAACACTTTTTTCGATGTAGTCACTCAGCATAGATAATATTAATTCTTCTTGAAAAATGCAGCGACATAAATTATTAAATTCCATTAAAAAAAACGCTACGATAATACATTATTCATGAATATCATACCGTAATACGCAATTATTAACTTGGTATTATTTTTGGTTTATGAAGTGCCTATACTGAAGTAGACAATATATGCATATAGTATTATAATGGTTCATTTAACTCTGTATAAAATAACGTCATCGTGTTTGAATGACGATGGTGTACGACGGTTACTGCGGAACTTTTATAGAATTATATTAAAATAGACGAGGGTTTTTTTTTTTTTTTGTTCCATATAGAAAAAAATTAAGCATATAACCTGCGATATCATTCGTAATCTAAACGCGATGGCGTGGCGGCCAGAAATCGTTTCCTGGCCCGCTTGAATTGACAGTAAAAACTTCGTACTTAAAAAAGAAATAATAATAATAATAAAAAAATAGGTAACGGTCTCTCGGTTAAATGATGATGTGCGCGTGATGCGTGCTAATGGATGCGTCCAATTAATTTTACCTTATACAATATAATACAGTATTACAATACGGCGGTGGCAGCGCCGGTGTAGAAGTTAAAGTTAAAGGCTGTTGTACCTACGCCTTTGATACACAAGGTATTTATTATAACACACATATTTTATATAAAGCATTGCATATGACAAAAGAAATAATTACGCGGGAAGTTTTTGATTAATAAAATATGTGTAATTTGAATTGTACGACGACGACGATGACACGGTTTTTCCTCTCCTAATAACGACTCATTCTACTCTCCTACTCCTCATTAAATACTGTCTTAACGATTGTACTTGTATGCACCTATGTTTTAAATGTTTTAAACAATAACATAAAGTAACGGTGCAGTGTATAGGCATCTCAGTTGGCTCATAATCACAAAATAGGACCTAAACGTATCCCAAAAACGAAATAAAGATCCCATAAACACAAAAAAAAAAAAAAATACCCTTTTAACAACCCGTAAACGCAAATTGATTTTACTAAAATAAAAGTAAATTTATTTTATTAAAGATTTTAAAATTATTATGATTTGAGATTTTACATAAATATTCTAATGAAAACCTTAAAATAATTAAACTTGAATTTTATAGCATTTGTACATTTTTGAGAAGTACAGTCTGCACATTTGTTTTCGATGCTTTTATATTAGAGATGAGTTTAAAGCTGCGATTTGTTGTTTTTCGTCCATTTGATTGTAGCTTCAAGTAAATTTCCGCTTGATGTTCTTTTAATTACGGTATTGTGTATAAAAGCGTTTATCATTTTTGAATAATTAATAATAATAATATTTTTAATGAAAACCAGACACATAATACGCAATTGTAGCCCGAAAATTAACTGATACAGATTGATTTATTTGGTATGAAAGATTTCACACAACTTTCAAACATAAATTCAAATAATAACCTTCTTACTTGTATATAGTTATAAACCTCAAATTATTAAAATTTAATTTATTTGCATTGTATGTACTGTATAACTTATGTTGAATGATTATCAACTGTCATCGTAATTTATGACAATAAAATAAACTTCAATTGAACTCGATCACTGTTGTTTTTCAAACAGAAATAATACTATATACTTGAAATCTAAACATATTGAGCGTCAAATTTTAAACTGAAACTAACAGTGCAACGGGTACAATATTGTATCAAGTAATAAAATTTTGTTTTGCCTTTTTATCTCACTAGTAAGAAAGCACAAATCAGTTTTGCCTTTTTATCAATTATATTAAAATGGTCGCTTATATCGCGACGGATGTCAACAACGCTCGTCCATATTATAATACGGTTTCATCGTATATAATATTATTACGTAGACGTGTAATAGGTACATTTTGAGGGGAGGTAAATACCTTAAAAAAAAAAAAAATAAAATATATGTATCATCCGGGCAAATGTCAAACCCTCTCCTCCCAAAGGGCCCCACTGTCGAGTTGTGTATATGATTACAATATTACTGTGTCGTGCCATAGAAAACGACTACAACGACGACAGGTGTGGAGCGTTTTAATATGTTTCGAAAACAATATTATGATTGCAACTCCTCCGTGCACCGAAAAATAACAGTTTTACCCCTCCATCTAAAGAAAAAATACATTGCAAAACTAATGAATTTTCAAGAAAACAGCTTAAAAGACATTTGAATTACTAAAAAAGTATTCCTATAATTGCATTTTATTTTTTTTTTTTTTTTTATCGTAAAATTATTTTTTTTGAAAATCAAATGTTAATTGAACAAAATTTTTACATAGTTATATGTAGGTATCGTTTTTAGGTATTCAATTGTACGTAATATAAACAAGATCAGTAAGAATATATACACTGGACTCCGAAAAAGACTGAAAAATAAGACCCTCAGAAATGTTGGTTTTTGAAAGGATAAATGTAAGGTATAAATACTATAGTAGCTGTCCCGCAACGCCTTACCCATGACAAAATAAATTCCCGTATCATTATTATATGACAACCAAATTCAATTTAAATTATCTCTTTGTATACACGGTGTCCTACAGTGTTATCCTTATACTCTGTCAAAATGCATTTGTTTGAAAATGCGATAAAGTGGAAAAAGTAAAAAGTTACTTTTTTCAGTGATTAAGGGATGAAAATAAGATTTTGATTCGTTTTTACACACCTAAGCTCGTGTCCCCCTTGAACAAAACCCGATTGAAAAAAATTAATATTGATAGAATTATTAGCGTGCGCATAACACCGTAGGACACACTGTATGTTGTATGCGAAAATGTCACTATAAAGTAAAAGTACGATAACCAAACTTACAATTTTTAAATCAGACAGATCCAATAAGAGTTAGTTTAATAAACGTTACACTTTTAAAACGAAACCTCATCTTCTTATCCGATGAATGAACAGAACAATTATTTTATGAATACACATTTATATCAACATCAACAAAAACGGTTATCTTTTTCGGTTCATTTGTTTATTTGTAAATCCCGACAAAATTAGTTATCATTATTATTTGGTCACGTTTAAAATGAAGTTAATATTTTGCGGATGCGCGTGACAGATATGAATGTCCTGTATAAATAAAAACCGCGAAGAGCTGGGTCCCGTCTTATAAATCTCACGTGGAGCTTGAGCCCCTTGTCTCCCCCCACCGTACACGGACGGCGTCCACGTATACAAAATAGATACCGGAGAGTGTACGCGATTCCAGTGGCGGAACTCTGCTGATCGCAGTCGGTTTTATTTTCTTCTTTTATTCTTGCTTTAATGAATCCTCGCGTGTTCGTGCGGTGTACAGTGATGATAACAATAATAATAATATACGCAGTTTGGTACAATATAACTTTATTATTCGCCTAATCTCAAGCGCACTTTTTCATTCGTGTTTTTTTTTTTATATAATATTATATAGGATTTTTTTTATTTTTCGTAAATTTAATAACTTGCGCACGTTGTTTATTTTCGTTTATCCGCTAAATCTCTTTGACGATACACAATGTAATAATGTGTTATTATACCATAAACTGCATGTATATTATAATATACACTTCGTGATTGTTATAATAATAATCTATTCGTCCGTTGACGACGACGACGACGTTGCGAAATTACCATATACTCTCGTATAATGTGTACAAATAATACAATACAACATTACGTACAGGGTGATCAATAATGACGTAAAAGAATAACTCATTATTTACGGAAGAATTGTATACGGCGGACGATGCCTATAACACTGAAAACTACTAGGAACAAACCGGGCGTAACCAAATTCGTCCTGTCCTTTCGCCAATAAGGTTCATTAGGTTATAAGACTCCGGGGGCCAACGCTTAGAAATTGAACAACTCCGTGGCGTTAAGGATTAAGGGGAAATGAAAATGTCCACGTAGTGATATATTTTAATACTTATATTTGTTACCATTTGAAAACAAAAATCCGTTAGTGGTTTCATGCCTGAATGATGTGATATCGGTAATATTTTAGAGCTGATTTTTTCTTAAATTTTCCAAAAATGCACCCGAGTGAGACAGAACCTACGATATTTCTCTTAAAATTATTCAAAAAAAAAAAAAAAAAAAAAATACAAATTTTGCATTGCATTTTGTTTAAATATTAAATCCTAACGTCCCTTTGGTTTCAGGGAAGCAGGCTTTTGATGATTTTTCATTGTGTCATAATCAATATAATAAGGGATAAAGCTCCCTAGAAAAATATTTGGACTCTTTGTGCCCATGATATTCGTGTAAGATTTAATTTCAAAGACGGTTGGCTTCCGTGTCAAGAGGATCAGTGCTCGCTTATGTTGATCACCCTGTATTATTATAATACGTTAGAATGCGGTGACGACGATTTACACGTCATTTGACGCGCGTTATTATAGTATAATACAAGTATATAAGTACAGTATAGGCGAATCAACGTCCCAGAATATTGTGTAAACGACGTTCATTTATTATTGTATTTTTTTTTTTTCTTCAACCGGAGATATCGTCTATTATTTACTCGCCCGCCGTACATCGTATTACCCAAAAAAACAATTATTATGTATGCTATAATTACAACGACCCGATTTGCCCGCGATTAAAATCGCGTAATCGGTTAAAATATCGTACAATTGGTATTTACCGAATAATCACATAAACCTTAGAAGAAAACTTGGAAAAGGCTCAATCGATTTTTATAATATTTTTCTTTAAACATTTTACCATATGAAACTGTTATCTTTATAATAATAATTATTATTATTATTTTTTTATCTAAACGGCATAAGCGTATTTTCAATAAAAATTAAATTCGCTCATTTTGAACACCTCGTACCTACTTGAAACACTATTTCCCCCAAAAAGAAATAGGTATTAATATTAAAGGGAATGTCTGTCCGCTGTTGGAATGTCTTCGTAGCTGTTTGTAGGTATCTGGTTCGATGATGACGTAGAACAAATCGGTTTGGCAGAACATAAATGCTTCAAAATTTAATACTATGTTCGTTACGAAAATTTTATTAAATTTAATGGCCAAATAAAAGTTTAGCTCTATGTTGCAGTTTTTTTTTCATACACAATACGAGCGTTTCAATATCAAATTAATCATTAGTTATGCGTTAGTATCGTTTTCGTATGGAAGTGAAATAAATTAATATATCCTATTCGCCTAATTTTCCACTTACAACAGTGGCGTACCCATCAGCAGTATTGGATCTTTTACTTATTAATGCCACAAATTTTTTTCTCGGTTTTTTCCAATTATCGTGGCAACTTCGTGTAAAATCAACAAATGGTCTGCACGAAGCACCAACGAGATCTAAAAGGCAATTAAAAGGACTTCTTTTTTTTTTTTTCGATCGCAGCAAGATTTTTTGGTAGTCGTTAACAGGCTCAAAAATAAAATCCTCGTTGTAAAACCATTACATTCCTCGCTACGCTCAAAATCTAAAAATTATTCTGTTTATCCGGATGAAACACAGTGTTTTACTCCTGTTTTTTTTCTATTTTGCATAAGTTTACGATTGGGTCATCCACTGCGAATATTAAGCGTCTAGGTAAATTTTAATTCCACGTCATCATTGACTTTACCGTGTAAAAGAAAAACACATATCCCCTAACTCCATAAATACGAATTATAGTTATTAAATGAAGTTTAACAATACAAATAATAATAATATACGGTTCCGAAAAAAAAAAAAATTCCACGAGAATCATACGAAACGGTATTATTATATGTAATCTGCTTCTTTTTCGTTGGCGATGGCGGAGACGACGGGTGAACTGCGTTGTCTGTTGAACATTCCGAACTTGTTGAAAATTCTGCCGGCTGCGTGGCACGGCGAATGAGAGATCGGCACTGCAGAGCTCAGTTGACGTCGTTTCGGAATGGCGGCAACGGTGGACGACGACCGACCGGACGACTCGAGCTTCTTCAGTTTCTCCAACTCGTGAAACGCGTCGAGAAAAATCCGTTCAATCGCCTCCACGTCCACTTTCGCGGGTATCGCGCCGCAGCCGCCGGTTTTTTCGGCCGCCTTGCCGTTGTCGACCGCCTTGACGTTACCGCCGGCCGTCTTGGCGTTACCGGAGGCCTTGGCCGCCCGGGAACCGCCGCCGTCGGCGTCCACCTTGTTGGCCAGCGCTATTTCCACGCACTTGTTCATCAGCCGGTCGACGAGCGACCCGGTCTGGGCGTCGGCGTCGTTGACTTGCTTGCGCCGAGTTTTCCCCTCGATCGCGTCGTCGGCCACGGCGGCCGCCTTAGTTGCCGGTTTGCCGTCCGCGGCGCCCGTACCGCCGCTGGCCAACGATTGCAGACTTTCAGCCACGTACCTGGCTTTGGTCGAAAGCGCGTCGTCTAAACGGATAGCGGGGGTTGCGGCTTTGCCTTTGGCGGCGCGCGTGGCGATGTCCATCGTCTTGAGGTCGGCGTACAGGTCCTGTATGGCCAGCTCGACACGTCCCGCCGCGAGGTTGTTCAGCGTCGCCGTCGTTGTCGTCGATACCGCGTGAGCGGTCTCCGCCGCTGCCACCGTCACCGTAAACAGCAGCGACACCACGAGTTCGTTCATCGTGGCCGACCGAAAACGGCTAAACGTCTTGTTCGGTCGTCCGATCATCGTCGTCCGTGTCATGTTGTCGTTTCGCCGTCGACTGTTTCCCGTGTTGTTTTTCACGGCCGGCCGTTTCCGGGCAACGCGCTTCCGCCCGCAAACGCCGCAGTCGCGATTCTCGGGATTCGCCGTCGGTTTTACGTTTTCATCGGAAACGTGAAAAAAAACAAAAATTGTATTTTGTTATAGCAAAAAAAAAAAAAAAAAAAGCACACCGTTAGGTACGCTGGTACCCGTAGTTATGGAATAACTCATGGATAGTCATCTGGTGACTATAACTTGTTACGCTATCACCTGTAATACCGAGGTTCGCGTTAGTCGAATGTTTACGTTTTTCTATCGCGTTTATTGTTATCGTTCGTTAGAATTTCATCGCACGTGTTTCTTTCTATTACTCGGCTTTGTTCGTCTATTATAATTAATTTCCACGTGCCGGGATCGCGCTGCGGTATATTTTAATTATTTTATATGAAACGCAACGCCTGCTTTCACTCGAAAGTAATAATTAATTAAACGGAAAATGTGAAAAGTATTACGAAAAACAATCGAAACGTTATTTTTCTCTGCAACTCCGCGCTATAAATTAATGACATAAAATATTTTGTATGCCGTTGACGGAATCGACCGGGAAACTATGGATACCAGTGTTCTGCTTAACCGTACAAATTCGCCGATGAGTAAGACCGAAATATACATCAAGTGCAACACAACATATCGCATTATTATCAAGGTTATCGATAAGACAATAACGTAAACAGTGACCAACACGTGCGTGACGATTCGTAAGTGAATTTATAACGTCGGTTATTATCTAGCTGTCTGGTATTCATTACTGTACGGGAATACTGATGATTGAGAAATAACACTCTCGCGGATGGAAACCGTTTTTGTTTTTTTTTTTTTTTTTTTTTTGTTTTTTATTCCCAATTTAATTTTTAGGAGTGATCGATCTGTTCTCCGGGAAATTCCGTTCAACGGAAATCCGGACATACTTCGCCGCACCGTAGGCAGGTCCACTCACTGTTGTTCAATGTGGAAAGTTCGGACCGTATAGGTTATAGTAGGGTACATATAGTTTATCCACCGACACTCGAAACCGACGATTAATCATTGTTCGTTGCAAACAAAAACCAATGTCGGGCCGGTAAACTGGTCAAATTGCATGGTTATGGATATAGTACTTAATTTTATTATTATAATCGTGTCTCTCTCACCGTGTGATCCGGACATCGACACAATTACAAAAAAGCCATGTATCGTCATCAATATTATTATTGTTGTCTGTCGGGAACTTGTCGGGCAAATCTAGAAAACGCGTTCTGAAAATAAAGCCGGATCATTTCCTCTGCGGGCCGCCGGAAAACCGACGTCGACCGGAAAATCATTAGCGTATTCGCCGCGCGCTCAGTATCGAAAAATAACGTAAAACGGTATTTCATAGACGACTGACGCGGAATATATAATCATAATCAAAACGCCGTATTGTGATGCCGTTTGGCGTTTTATGAAAAAAAAAAAAATAAAATGAATAATAACATGTAGGTAGGGGGGTTCCCTCGGGACGTTCGAGCGATGACGTCAAACGGCGAAATCGAGAATGATTGACTAAGAGATACAATTATTATCGTAACGTTACACAGGGTTTTAAAAAAAAAATCGCGTTCCGAACGGTGAAACACGCGTTTTCCCGTGGATTCAACGACGCGCGAAAAACGGCTGCACGGAATAAAAGCGTCGCTATATGCGTTTGTACGTACGAAAACAAATTAAAAAAAAAAAGAAAATTAAAAAAAAAAAACCCTACTCATTATACCGGTCTATACCTATTATTGTACCGGGCCGTGTTGTTCGCGCGTTCAAAGTGCGAAATAATCGCACGGACGTAACAATAATATTAATACATTTTAATGACGCCGCTAATCGAAAACGGCAAAACGAATTTCGCGGAGGCCATTACGATAACATAAAACGACCGTTTGGTGTAGGCCCGGCGCAGGCATTGTTCTCGGTACCTTTGAGCGGCTCTCTGCGCCGGACAATGGCGTTGAACGGTTTTTTCTTTTTTAAAAAAATAGCGTTCGCGGGCTGACATTTTCGTAAACCTACGAGTACCTATACCGTACGGGTATAGGCATCGTGATATTGTTATAATCGCGCTCGTGCCGGTGGATTAAAACCTAACCGGAGTCAAAGCGTTTGTTTCGAGTTCTACTGCGACGAATTTGGTATTTATTTTTTTTATGCATACATTATGTACCTTTGAAGTTTTTATTTTACTCGAAATAATATTTATTAAAAAAAAAAAAATAATATTAATAATGAAATAAAATATTAAAGTAAATTCGCACGGTATTGTTAATATTATTATAAACCGTCCGTATACAAAACGTTCGACATTTCCCAAAATAAATATTTATGAAAAATCCATTTGCTCAAGAGCTATAGTGTTACACCACGAATAATTATTGTTCTTTTGTTTGACTTGTGTTTGTTATTTTTATAACGACAATAAAAATAAATTTCAAAATAAACTAAAAAAAAAAAAAAAAAATGATATCTTTTTAAATTACAACTATATATGTATATCACAACAATACTCTTGATAAATAAATGATAGGGGAATTTCGTTTCTGTCATTTTTTTATGAACTTTTTCTTTTATATTTTTAATGGCCATTCGTGTACCAGCGACATGTACACGCAGATTCCTTCGGTCTTTCCGGTTTTCAGCTACACGTCGTTAGCTGTACGTCGCAGTGGGTTTATTAGAGATATATTTGAAGACGACGCCGACGATATGTCTGAGTTTCTCAACTATCAAAGACAAATGCGCCCGGTCCGAGTGCGAATCGACCACACGGCTGTAGATTCGGATTCGGAGTGTCAAAACAGGCAGTTCCATTCTACCTGCCACTATACGGGAGCACTATGAAAAAAATAACCGTACCGAATATGTTGCTACGGAACGCAAAAGTAAAAACCGAATATTAACAGGGACGAAAAACCGTAAAACACTGCGAGACACCCTGTGGTGTATTACGATGGAATTAGAGAATCCAGACGACGGGTTGCGTTACGTAAAATACAATATTATACACCTATTATAGACATGCGATTCGTATAATTAAACATGAATATTTATAGCGGTAGACGCAAATACAAATTTAACCTAATTACAGCGTGCACGGCACTTCGACCGCAGCTGTCGCCGCGGGGGTCTCAAAACGCCGCCGTTTTCGTTAAAAATTCTTGGGGCGCTCGTCGACGGCGCCACTAGCTGCTGGCTGCCGGTGCTCTTGACGAACAAATCTCGACGAAACTTTATTCATTTGTACGTAGGTAATTGACGCAACACGGGAGAACAAACTCGTGCACAATGAAAAACACTGCACTCCTATAGTGTCTATATTTATATGCGTATGCGTAGCTGCCTGCCTACTTAAAGTTAACATGCATTTTTTACGAAAAAGCACTCGGAAAAATCGTCTCCCGTCGAAAATACCAAAGACGTTGTTAAAATAATAATAATTACATGTTACATTAATATGCTTTACGGCTGGGTAAACCTATCCGTAAGCGTATTTACGTGTGTTGGCCGAGCACAACACCGTGCTGAGTGCTGAGTTCACGGATGTTACGGAGAGCCTCTTTATCTTCTACATAATATCCCACTGTAATAATTTAGCAGGCTGTTCATGAATATTGTTTAAATATTTTGTAGCGATCAAATGTTCAAGCAGTTGAAAAATAATGATGTCTGGCAATAATCTTCAAATCAAATAATTAATACAAAATAGCAATCAATTGAAAAAAAAACGAATAACAATCATAAAATAATAATATGTATATCCGACTCGAAAATCAGCTTTTAAAGAAATGAATTACTGCTGTAATACATGAAGTACGTTCAGCAGTCTTATAAAAAATATTTTTATTTTGTATTCGGAATTCCCGTGTATTTGAATAGAATTTATTCGAATTTTTTTTCCGTCAGCTTCGGAACATGTAAATTTCTCTAGTGAATTTAACTAATAATACAACGTTTACAAACAAACACAAAAGGACCGCACCAATTGTTTTATTTCAATTGAAAATTTAAACTAAACAATACTGTACATTTGTAATATTGTGTCTCGTGTGTCCGTAAAAATCTGCGTTTTAAGATTTAGATTAAAAATGGAAAACCATTGTTGGTTTCAGTATAAAATAGTATTTTTTAGTGAAAAAAAAATACAAAAATAGATTATCCAATATTCAGTATGCGTGCACTATAATATTGTTTCCAAAATTGTTCGAATACTGTTCGAAGTATTAAAATACTTTAATTTGAATATAGGTATCTTGACAAAACCGTATGCATCCCGAACGATTTCCCGTGACATGATGCGGTCGCCGTTAAAAATATTCGTCATAAAATCGGCGATTTCGTATAAAAAACATTTTCTCTCGAGATTTGAATTCGATTTTGTAAGGAAAAAAATTAATAGCCTTTTGGATTATTACTTTTTGATTTTTATGTCGGTGAAATGAATTTTATTCTCGCAGATGAAAAAAACAAGTTTTTAATGAAAAGTTTTCCGTCTTTAGACGTCTCTTTTATTATTTACGTAGGGAAATAATATTATATAAGCGAGAAAACTGATACGCGAATGAAATATTCATAACGATAAAAGTACAAAATAAATATACCTGCCTATACTCGGCGGTGTATTTTAGTGCTTTGAGTGGTTCGTAGGGTGAGATTTCCAATAATAATAATGTAATATATCGATCCGTAAAAAGAAAAAAAAAACGTAAAACAAACAGAAAACGTCCGTATGACAGGAGCAAATGTCTCCGCAATTCGACTATACATACATCTATACTTATGCAAAATAATGTATAGCGGTATTAGTTTAAAAAAAAAAAAAAAATGTTTCAGCTTGTTTTTTTTCCTCAGTTTGTTTTTTTCCCCTCTCG